TTTAGAGCTGGCCACAAATAAGGGAAGGAATGAATCCAATATTGAAACCACAGGTTTTGGGGTCTTTATGGAGAGCTGGCCATAAAAAAGCTCATGGGTGCGGGGGTGAATCATCTGCATCCAGGGTCACCCCTCCAGAGATGCTGCTGTTCCTCTATTTGTTGATTTTTTTCACCCCTCAGGACTGGCACACCTAAGGGACTCCTTTTCCTGCTAATCCAGGCAGGGAGCAATCCCAATTGCTGGGTTAGCTGGGTTAGCAAGGAAAAAAAGTAATAATTAAAATATTTCTGCTCTAGGATACCTCACACAAAGCAGAGCATGGAGGGGTGACCACACAGGGACAAATGATGGTGTCCATCAGGGCTGGGGAGCCCAGCACTCCTGGGGCTCTCCCTGCTTCTCATGGGGCAGGTTCAGCTTTGGAAAGCTGAACCAGGGCTGTGGTTTCTTTATGTTCATATTCACAATTTCACATATTTATATTCACAACAAAACCACTCTGGATTTACTGGGTTTTTTCTAAGAGTGAATGGAAGTGGGGCAGAGCCTCCATTCGTGAGGCAGCCAGACTAGCAAGGGTGAGATAATCTAAATTAGCTCATATATTATTATTATTAGCTCATGTATATATAATATATATAATTATTATTATATCTATAATAATATAGTATATTATACATTATATATTATATATTATATATTATATATTATATAATGGTTTATATAATATATAATATATATTATATATTATATGTTTATATAATTATCATAGCTATAATTATATATAAATATTATAATAATAAATTATCTATATTTTATATATTATAAATATAATATATAATGTGTTATATTTATTATATATTATGTATTATATATAATAATATATATAATAATAATTATTATTAGCTCATATATAGTCCCTCCCCCCCTATATTTTTTTAGGAGGGACACAAAGAAGCTGTAACCTTCCCACTGGGTTAGGTAACATAAAAAATCTCAAATAACCCCAGAAAACCACTGCCCTTTGCTGCTGGCAGCAGAACCTGTGCAGAGCTGGCAAGGAAACAGCCCCTGGAAAAGGAATTCTGGCATGAAGGTGCTGGGATAATATCCAGCTGAAATGAGTCACCTGCTGCAGTGCTGTCCTCTCAGGAAACTCTCACTTTGATATGATCTCTCTTTAAAAGTCAGATCTTTCCTCTGGGAAAAGGCAAGTCTTGACTTAGGCTGACCTACCTTGCTTTTGGCTAGAAAAAGATCTTTTCCCTTGGCTGCCCCATGACTTTCACTCACAACCTCCCTGAGAACATTTTTAAAAACCATTATTTAAGTCATCCCAATCAGGCAGCATGAATCCCAGTTCCAAAAATGGTTTTATTGGCCTAATCTGATAAAATGTGCATCTTTTCATTCAGGTACATCTTCTTGCAATTATTTTTTTCTTTCTTGTGATAATTCCTCTTAAGTCACCATCCATCATCAAATACCTGGCATTTGAATTCCACAGCTCAGACACCTGCTTACCAGTAAATTTTAAATTTCTGATTATTGCCAGTGGTTGTGTTTGTTAGGATTTGTGCCTGATGCCTGGAATTTTTCACAAGCTGCTCAGAATGCTTTACACTAAAAGTGGAGGCATAAACCTGCCAGTGTAAAACAAGAAAGTCTTCAGAAAGTCAAGGCTGTTCTTTTTTGTCTAAATGGGCCATTCAAAACTGAACTTGGTAGGGCAGGAACTGCTCTATAGTGGATGAAAAATGCCTCCAGAAGTGAGTGGATTGAGTCTGTCATGTTTTAGGTTTCACTGAGCTCCAATTGAGAGGATAATATGGATATAAATGGGATAAATGATGTCCTGGAGTTGTCCTGTGACAACACTGCCCTGCCAAGAAGATGAATATCCAGAAAAGGGGAAGAAAATATTCTTTTTTCTTTTTTTATTCTTATTTCTTTTTTCAATATTGCCAGGGAAGTTTTCCTTAACCTTGTAAATAAATATACAATCCCTTGCCCAGCTTCCAACAGAGACTGGAGACAGAACCAGTGGAGGAATGGAGATGGGTAGCAGAAGAATTAATCAAAGAGCTGTGTGCAGGATGAGTTACAGTTCCAGATGTGTTATAACATCAACCTTCATTTTGATGTGAAGACCATGACCAGCTGTTGAGTTTTGGTCCTGCAGAATTTTCACTTCTTCAGTGCACAATCCACGGACTGCAAAGCACGGACCCTGTTTTTTCCCAAATAAATGTCAAAGCTGTGTATCTGCAAAAATAAAGGCCAGTCAATGGTGTCTGAAGCAGCTATTAATCTTTGGAATTAGTTGCTCCAAGTGCAGATTGCAAGTATATGAAACAACAAAAAATGGAATTAAATTAGGGAGATTTATCGTGAGCAGTTGTTGCACAGTGGTTTGGGTTTCAGCAAGAGCACAGAGCAGGGAAAGATCAGCACAAAGACATAAATAAAGTAGGAATACTCCAAGGAAAGATCTTGTTTACTCTGTGCAAGCAGCCATGTCATTTGTCACCTCAGAGCACAGGAGCAGGACATGGGTGGGAGCTCCTGGATGGGCTAGATCAAGGTGCAGGTGTTAATATTGAAACAGAGTTTGTGAAAGGAATTGGAAACTCCTGTGGTGTCAGACAAAGCTCTCTGAGCAGTAAAAAATCAACTCAGAGGTGGGAGAGGTGGCAGGGTTGTGATTTGTTCCTCTCTGGATGTACTGGAGCTGTCAGAGCCTTTCAGTAATTGCAGCTTTCAGATGGTGTTGGATGGGATCTGGGTGGAGGTGACAGTGACCTGCAGGTGCTGAGCTCTGCCAGCATCCCAAGGTGACACTTCTGTCCTGAGGGAGTCACCCTTCCATGGGCTGGCTGTGAGCTGCCCACACACTGGATGAAGAGAGTAGCCGGGGGAAAATGGCCTGTTTGAAGGAAAACTGGGATAAATTCTGTTTTAAATGCCTGGCTGCAGGTCTGGGGGAGAGGAGAGCTGGAGAAGTGGGGCAGAGCAGGTGACAGGGACCTGGAGCAGGTGACAGGACCTGGAGCAGTGGCAGGGGCCTGGAGCAGTGACAGGGGCCTGGAGCAGTGACAGGACCTGGAGCAGTGGCAGGGGCCTGGAGCAGTGACAGGGGCCTGGAGCAGTGACAGGACCTGGAGCAGGTGACAAGGACCTGGAGCAGGTGACAGGGGCCTGGAGCAGTGACAGGGGCCTGGAGTAGGTGACAAGGACCTGGATTAGGTGACAAGGATCTGGAGCAGTGACAGGGGCCTGGAGCAGTGACAGGGGCCTGGATTAGGTGACAAGGACCTGGAGCAGGTGACAGGGGCCTGGAGCAGGTGACAAGGACCTGGAGCAGTGACAGGGGCCTGGGGGCCTTTCTCCCCATAAAATAATCCCTAGTTTTACTTCCCAGCAAAATTCCCTGGCATCAACTGAGCAGATTTTGTTACACAGGACCTTTTAATAGAGAGATACAGAGAGAACTGCCCAAAGCACAATTACTGCTAGAAAAACTATAGGAACCTTAACTCCAAATAAATCAAATATATTCCCTTAACTACTGAGCTTTTTAAGGCACACCTTGCTCTTTTTCCAGGTTCCCATCATCATATTCTGGCAAGCTTCAAGATGAAATCCTTTGGCTTCCACCAGTGTGCAGCTATTGACACTTGGGCATGGATCAAAGTGAATTTCCACAGCTTTCAGATATAAAGAGTAATTGGAAGATTTTTTTTGTGTGTGTGTATCCAGAGGGTATAACACTCCTCTGCAGAGCCATTTTAGAGTGGATATAAAATAAATCCAGCAAGGCTCCTCTCTGCTCAGCAGGGCTGCAGCTGGGGTAAAGTGAAGGCAAACAGGGCTTAGTGTCTGTGTCTTGACAACTTTTGTGGTTCTGTTCCTTCCTTCACTCAGGTGGAGGCTGGAAAAGCTGCTGGAGGAGAAATTCAGGGGGAATTATAAAATAAACACCCCCACATTTGGCTCAGTGAGCCCTCCTGATGTCTCTACAGTTACACACACGCAGATAAACACATTTATACACACCAATGTGTATGACTGCCTTGTTCTTACAGCTCTCCTGTGCACCTGCTCTGTGTCCATCCCAGGCAGATTGCTGGGCACTTTCAGCTGACTCCACCAGCCCATTCCCACTCTCCAGGCCCTGGATGTCCATGAGATGTCCAACACCCCACGTCCACTCCTTCCGTGCCTCCCATTGTCAGGCCCAGCCTGACTCATGTCCCCTTCCTTGCTTTCTCTGTGTGCTCATGTAATTTCCACCTTCCTTCCCTATTCCACACCCCAATTTATTTTTTCCTTATGGTTTTTCCCCTCCTCCTAAATAATTTTCAGCAAACCAACGTCACCTTGGTTTAATGAAAGCCCCTGGATGTTTATCATGTTGTCAGATCGTTTCCTTCCAGATGAAGTTGTCACTTTGTCAAGGCGTGATGCAAATCCCCAGCAGGAAGCAGACAAAGGGAGAGCCCACCAGGCTCTGGGGAAGTTTGGGTGAACTGTTTGCAAAAAAAAATCAGCCGAGCCCACCCCTCCGAGACCTTCATTTCCCCCTGCGGCAGCTGTCATCTGATCCCACGCCTCGCCTCTCAATGGGGCTCTCGGAGGATGCCAGATGTTGGGAACAAAGGTCTAAAAATAATCTTTCCAAGTAATCTTCCCGTCCATCACTCGAGGGGAGCGTGAGCTTTGTGCGAACATGTGAGCCGAGAACCTGATCTAACTTCAACAAGTTCAACAGCAGCTCCCGGCTCCTGCCTCTGGGCTCCTTTTTGTGCCTTTTTTTTTTTTTTTTTTTTTTTTTTTTTTTTTTTTTTTAATTCCTTCCCCTTTGCCTTCCCAGAAGCTGCGCAGGGGAAAGCTTGGAGCGCTCTTTCCCTCCCTCCTCTCCTCCTTCCCTCCTTGCAAACCCCGACATCTCCGGGGCTCCTTTTTCCATCTCTCCCTGGAACAAAAAAAAATAAAAAATGAGTTCCAGGCTGCTTCCAGAGATACAAAAAACTCTTTTCTGTAAGAAGCTCCTGGCTGCAGCGCTGTGTGTGCTGGTGGTGCTGCCGGAGCCGGGCAGTGCCAGGAGCCTGTGGAAACGCGCTCTGCTGAAAATGACGGAGAAATACGATGTGAGTGGGGCTGGGGGGCTCGGGGGATGCTGGCCGAGAAAAGGGGGAGTTATCCTGGCAGGGTTTGGGATAAAGGAGTGTTGGATCGGCGGGCTGGCTCGGTATCGCAGCCATCCGTGAAGTTTTCCCAGGCTGTGCGGGACTTTTGCCACCTAGCTGCTGCAGGGGGAAGCTGGGGGAGCTTTGGGATGGCACCGGCACCGCTTTCCCTGGAAAACCCCCGGGACAGCAGGAAAAGGGACCGGGGAGAAGGGGGATGCAAACCCTGAGCTCCGGGGAGAGGTTTAGTGCGGGGAAAATAATGGGATTTATTGCGGGGAAAATAATGGGATTTATTGCTTGGAGCAGGGAGGGTTCCCTGCCCAGCTCCTGTGCTGCCTTTTGGGGTAACTTTGGGTAAATGTGGGACGGGGGTATTGCCCACGGCTCTGTAAATCCCTGGAGCACAGAGAGCTCAGCCCCGCAGTGCCAGAGCAGCGTGCCCATCACCCTATAAAGGGTGGTGATGCCAGAAATCCATCCCTGTGGCAAGCAGAGCTGCTGCCCACGCCCTGGGTGCCACCATCTGTGCCTGCCCCTGGCAGCCTGCAGGCTCCACAGGGCACTGGGCACAGCCACAACCCCCAAACCCGCTCTGGAGAGAGCTGCCCTAAGCACAGGTACTGCTGGAAAACCTTTGGGAACCTTCACTCTGGAGTGCTGGAGCTGGAACTGGGACAGAACAAGTGCAGGGAGTGATGCTGAGTCTTGCCTTGGTGTGTCTGGGCCAAACAATTGTCACAGAGGAAATTGGAATTGAAAAAAAAAGGAAAATAATTTGCTAGCTTAAGTTTTTGGTCCTGCTGTTTGAAAAAAAAAAAAATTGAATTTGAAATTTTTGCTTGATCCATTCAAGTTCCCTTAGAAACCAGCACTGCCCCTTGAATTGCTTGGGTGCAAGCCCCAAACACTTTATTTTCTTATGCTCAGGTCTGATTGCATCTTCCTGCATGTGTATAAACAGCACCTCAGTGTCACAGGCAGATCCCTCCATGTTTTCTGCAGCTGTTAATTCCAAAAGGATGTTTTTATACCCATGACTTTTAGGGTGATGTTTGTGCATGGCAACATTTGGTTTGTGCAGTTGCTGACTCAGAATTGTGACACACATCCCTTGCCCCCAATGAAGAAACTGAAATTCTGTCTTCTGGAAATTTTTTAGAAAACATTGTGCTGATGTTGGAAAGGTACCTCAGGATTTTGTAAAAAAATTTCATTATAGCCTCTCTTGGGCCAGGGTATCCTCTGGTTCCACTTTAATTGGAAAATGGTGATATAAAATCTGCATTTCCTGCAAAATCACTCACTGGAAAGTGCATGTATCTGGATATTCTGCCATATTTCAAAGTGAAGCTCAAATTGAATAGGAACCATGAGGTGAATGACCCAGAGAGATAGGACAGGAGCAGAAGAGGAATTTACATGTTGATTTTCAGATAAGGAGCCAGCTCCCCTGGGGATATATCCTCTTCTTTCAACCTGCACTTCTTCAAAGGGCTGTTTTTGCTGGCAGCCCCGAATCCAGGTGCTACTGATCTGGCAAGCTCAGCTAGAAATTGCTCATATTGACAGAAACATTGATCCAGGGAAAACAGAAAATGCTTTTCTTTCTCCTCCTCCGAGCCTTGTCAAGGGGGAAAGCGTCTGCTCTGCATCCTCTCCTGCGGTTCTGGCAGCCCCTCTGCTTTCTCACAGGGATGTTTTCTCTCCTACCAAACGCTGTGTGTTCCCTGTGGTTGGAAAAATCAGAGTCTGGGGGCAGAGCAGCTGATTTGTGAGTCATTTGGATGGAGGGATGACAGATGGAGGTGATCATGGACGTGCAGCCATGTGGGACACGGGCCACAGGAGCTGTGGGACCTGTCCCACCCCTGTGGGACCCCAAAGGACACAGCTCTGTGTGGTCTGAGCCCAGAAAATCCGAGGCTGCAGCAGGAGGAGTGAATCCAGAAAAATGCTGGGTGCAGAATGGCAGGGAGGAGTGAGGATGAGGAGCTGGCTGGGGTTTCATTCACCCTGGGTGAGGAAGGCTGTTGGCTGGCAAGGAGGGGTCAAGTGGGGCTGGAGAAGGGAGAAAGAGGGATGGCAGTGAGGAGAAAAACCTGGCAGCCACAGTGGGATGCAGGAGCTGGGCTTTAAAACAAATCCATGTGTTTTACAGAGGGACATTTGTCAGATTTAGTGATTTGCAGCTGGTGTTCTGCAGCCCCCACGCTCCAGGGACTGTTCCCAAGGGGCAGAGGGAGGGAGATACCTGGGAGTGGGCTCAGTTCATCATAAAACACCCATCATGTCTGCTGGGAAAAACTGGGCCAGTCTGGATTTCATTCCACTGTCAGCTACAGCAAGTGTTGGAGAAAAATCCCAGCCTTCTTCTAAAATCTTCCAGAAATGAAGAATTCCTCACAGCTGCTGTAATGCTCTTCCAGCAATTTATTTACCCTGCAGCAGCCAGCTGTCATAAATCAGCCCTGGGGTACCCTCCTTGTGTTCTGGCCCCCAAATCCTCAGAGTAACCTGTGAGGAGGGCAGCCTCAGCTCCCCTTTGGAACCTGCACACACACACAAACCTTTTTCTGTATTTCCTGCTTTCCAACCTTTTACTCATTATTGTGCATCTTTTGGAGCCCACCCCAGTTCTGCAGGGTTCTTCCAGCTGCAAAGAGCAGATCCAAAATGACAAATCCGGAGCTGACAACAGGAGAAAATTATTGCCATTGCTTTGGTCTTGTCCTTCACATCAAGCTGCTTTCAGGCTGATGTTTGCCACTTTGATCATCACTGATGGGTGATTTTCCAGGTCTTTAATGGAAATATTGGAGGATTCAAAATTCCCTTTGACTGTGGGGTTTTTTTTTTTCATTTTCTTTTTGTTTTATGGCCAGTGTTTGGGAATACCTGCCAGGGCCAGAGCTGGTGGTGGGAGGCTGAAATAAACCTCATGTGCCACCTCAAGGGGCTCCATGCAGAATGTGAATTAGCAGAGCTGTGCTTTAACACAAGCTCAGGGACCAGTTCCAGACACAAATAACAGAACAGAGCTGGGATTTTTGGGAGGCAGACTGCATCCCTATTGAAATTATGGCTGAGACTGAGTGATTCCATCCAGGTTCTTCCTCATCTTTGTTGACTTCCAGGGTTCCTCAGCTGAACTCTGCACTTTTCCCCTTACTTTGTTTCTGGCTATCTAAGGCAGATATTGTCATTAAAATGTTTAATAAGTCTCCCTGGGAAACAGAAATTTACCTCCTGCACTGAAAAATGTTTTTAAAGAAATTTTGACTGTCGTCAAAATCTGCAAAAATAATAAATCAGAGCCAAACTGTGAATGCTGGGAGAGCTTTTAAAAACCTTATAACCCAAACCTGGAGATGTCCTTAACCAGGTTATTTTGGGGAACGAGGGAATCCTGTTTACACATAAACAAGGAAGTTTATTAAACAAAATAAGTAAAATATTCTTATTTTGAATGCAATGAGTTGTGAGCAATAGGTGACCAGAGAAAAATGGCAGGGAGGTCATGAGGTACAAAGTTATTTGGCCACAACTGTTATATTGTTCCCCAACGGAAATTTCATTCATGGAGCCAGCTGTTCATTGCAATTTTGGCTTCTTGGGTTCTGAATCATCTGTGAAGCAACTGCAGTAATTGTTTGGTGGGTTTTTTTCATGTGTCCATTATTTGCCAGTATTATTTTGGTCCCATTTCCGTCTGCAGATGACCTTTCAAATAGAATGGTAAACTGTGACCTTCCAGGATGAGCACTCCCTCCAGCAAGGAGACCTGTTCTGTGTTTGGAACTGCACAGATTTATTGTTCACTGCTCCCTTATATCCCAAAATTATAGCTGGTATGAAAATTTTATCTATTTAAAATCCAGCAACCCAAAAAAACCAAACCCAAGAAACGTGTATGTTCAATATCTTCGATTTTCATGAAGAAAATAATATGAATATAAATATAAAATGAAAATCTTCATTTTTATAAAATATAAAAATGAAGATTTTAATATTTCAAATTTGGAGTGTTTGCAGCTTTTGAGGAATGGACAAATACAAGAGCTTGCTTGCATCTTCAGCATGGAAAACATCATCAAAATTGGGTTTTTCCAAACCTTTTTAGTGGTTTAAACAGCCTATCAGTTAATGGGAAAACAATGTCACAGAAGGGTTTTAGAGGAAAAAGCAGAAGAAATTTGTTTATTGATATTGGGAACGGGGCAGGAGACTGTCAATAGCGAAAACATCAGGAATTCTCTGTCTGTCTGACACTCCATCTCTGCAATGGCGTCTCCTTGACCAGTTTTTGGGAGAATCCATGTGGGAACAGGCTCTTGTCAAAGGACAGATGCTCCAAAGGAGTCATTGGGGGTTAGAGAAATAAGGATGGAGCAGGATGCAGAGAGGGATGCTAATCTCACCTCAAATTCTCCATGGTCTGCTGGTGAAATTTCCTAGAAACCCCTGGGGGGTTGTTGCACCATGTTTATTCTTGGAATAACAACCCCAGTTTCTCATCACTGATTTTGTAACACACCAGTGATTTGGCCAAGTGTATCTTTACATTTTTGTGTATTTTTGACTTTACTGCTCTTGAGGCCATGGCAGTGTTCACTTCACACCCCTGGCTTGATGCTGATCTCTTTTAAAAATGCAAATCCAGAATTTTGATTTTATGAGAGTTTATAAATGGTTGTTAATAAATCTGAGACGTGAGTGCCCTGAGCCCTTTCTGCAGCCCAGAGGGGAGGGAGTGGTTGAGCCACAGGTGAGAAAGGAGTGGGCTGGGGTGATTCACCTCTGCTGCAGGGATTTGGCTTCTTGCTACAACAGCCCCAGTGTGAAAAATATCTGAATGGTGCCTCATAAATGTTCCTGGGCCTGTTAATGCACTTTACACTTCTCTTATCCTGTCAGTGAGCAGTGAGCAGCTCAGCTTCTTTCTGCTGCAAATGAGCTCATTTTCTTTGGGGCAAAGCTGGCATCACTCACAGATCTCACCAGAATGTCCCATGGTTTAGAAATGGTCTCTGATTTAACAGCCCAGAGCTCCACCATGGATAAACTTGAAAGGCTCCGGTAGGATGTTCCATAACTCACCTTACAGCGAACCTGACTTGCTTTTCTTCTCTTTGCAAAGGATTATGAGTACCCTCTTCATTCTCACAGCTCCCAGCAGCAGCAGAAGAGCGACCGGTGCCCGCCGCCGCCGCAGAGCCTGCCGGAGCGCGCCTGCGAGGTGCCCAGCTGCCGCTCCGACGCCGAGTGCCAGCGCCACAAGCGCTGCTGCTACAACGGCTGCATCTACGCCTGCCTCGAGTCCGTGCAGCCCCCGCCAGGTACAGGGAGCCCCGGGGGGGCTGGGAGAGACGGGAGCTTGTGGGGATGGGGGTGGTGGTGGGGATGGTCTTCAGGTGCGTTGGGTGCAGCACGGGAGGTTGGAGCGCGGGTTGTGTTCCGCACTTGGGGTTTCTGCGGGGTTGAGGAGTGAGAAGGTATCCAAGGGAAGCTGGTGTGGGAAAACTTCCACTTGGGTGAGTTGTAGAAATCACTCAAGGGCAGTTGTTTTCCTGGGATGCCATTTCCTATGCTCCATCCTGGAAGTGTCCAAGGCAAGCTGGTGTGGCAAAATTTCTCCTTGGTCCAATTGTAGAAGTCACTCAAGGGCAGTTCTTTTCCCAGGATGGCATCTTCCATGCTCCATGCCTGGAAGTGTCCAAGGCAAACTGGTGTGGCAAAATTTCCACTTGAGTGAATTGTAGAAGTCACTCAAGGCCAGTTCTTTTCCAAGGACAGGCAAACTGGTGTGGTAAAATTTCTCCTTGGTCCAATTGTAGAAGTCACTCAAGGGCAATTCTTTCCCAGGATGGCATCTTCCATGCTCCATGCCTGGAAGTGTCCAAGGCAAACTGGTGTGGCAAAATTTCCACTTGAGTGAATTGTAGAAGTCACTCAAGGCCAGTTCTTTTCCAAGGACAGGCAAACTGGTGTGGTAAAATTTCTCCTTGGTCCAATTGTAGAAGTCACTCAAGGGCAATTCTTTCCCAGGATGGCATTTTCCATGCTCCATGCCTGGAAGTAGGGATGCCACACCAAGGCAACCTGGTGTGGCAAAATTTCTGCTTGGATGAATTGTAGATGTCACTCAAGGGTAGTTCTTTTCCCAGGATGGCATTTTCCATGCTCCATGCCTGGAAGTGTCCAAGGCAAGCTGGTGTGGGAAAATTTCCTCTTGGATGAATAGTAGAAGTCACTCAAGGGCAGTTCATTTCCAAGGACAGGCAAATGGTGTGGCAAAATTTCTACTTGGGTGAATTGTAGAAGTCACTCAAGGCCATTTGTTTTCCTGGGATGGCATTTTTCATGCTCAATGCCTAGAAGTATCCAAGGCAAACTGGCGTGGCAAAATTTCTACTTGGTCAAATATAACTCCAAATCAGATGAATCCATCAGGCAGCCTCCTCACAGGCCCTTAGAGGAAATCCATGACTTTTCCATAACTCTGTGTCCTGTGGCTGCTACATCTTGACACTGTGGTCTCTTGTTTCTGTCTCTGCAGTCCTGGACTGGCTGGTTCAGCCCAAGCCCCGCTGGCTGGGAGGCAATGGGTGGCTTTTGGATGGCCCAGAGGAAGTCTTACAAGGTACAGGACATTTCTCTATCTTCTCTACAATATCCATAATCCCACAAAGGCCCTGGAGAATGAATCCCTCTTACACAGAGCTTGCCTGGGATGTTGGGCTGCTGGTATTTGTCTGGAGTTCCACAGGAATAACTCTGTGTGGTGCTGGGAGCTGCTTTCTGCTGCAGTAAATACTTTTTATGGATATGGATTATGCAGCAGAGCACTAGGAATGCTGCAGGGTGCTGGGCTTGTACCCATTCTTCAGATAAAGAAAGATATATCTTCCTTTTAGAAAAAGGCTTTGTCATCATACACATAATTTTCTGCCAGCTTCCTGATAGAGTGTGGGTGGATTTGGAATGGGAGATCCTTTAATCCAGAGTGGCCTCCTCACCCAGATGCCTTGGGCTGGGGCTGTGGCTCTTGGATCTGAAGGTGACTTGGACAGGAGCCCTGGCAAACTGCTGCAGAGCTGTGCCAACTGGGGCATCTAAATTTGGAGACTGACAATGAGATTGAGCCTTACCGGTTCATTCCATAGGAAAAGGGTTTTAATTAATTTTTTTAATACCTAAAACTAAAATAAGGAAGGAATGGGGAGGTTGGAAGAGAAGTTTTCTTCTGTGAGGCATTCCTAGATTTATGGACACCTGAAGTTTTGGGATTTTTCATGGAAAAGTTAACCCAGCTTTTGATCAGCTTTAGTCAGATCCAGGTAGAGCCAATAAATTCCCCTCTTTGGTCTTACACAGATGGTTTTAGACTCACTAAGCCTCAACTCTCATCTATTATGGAAACTCCAAGTTCTTGAAGAGAAAATTCTGCCTCCAGCTCATTGGAGCTGCACAGCTAGAAACAAGATAAAATAGGTTCCTCCTCATCCATCCTTGTCATGCTTATATTATTTGTTCTTATCTGAACCCCTTCATCTCAGCTTGAGGGAGTAATTAGGGAAGCAAGAACCATCAGTCATGGCATGAGAATTACAGCAGAGTACTTGAAATTAAAAATCAGAGAGAGGAGTGGCCCTGCAGAGTCTGTACATGTAATGGCCACAGATACTGCCCAGATCCTGCTTTGCCTTCCCATTCTGAGCTGCACTTGCTGCCTGTCCCAGGTCAGAGTGGTGAAACCTCTGTTTGGCACAGGGGTGGCACTGCCTGACCCCACAGTGAGTCACTGCTGAGGTTTGGATTCAGCAGCAGGCCTGTGGGTGTGGAGCAGAGAGCAGAGCAGCACAATGCCAGCTTCCTGCTCATGTTCCAACCCCTCACCCAGCCCAGAGCTGGTGGGACACACTTATCCCTGCCTGGTGGGACACACTTGTCCCTGCCTGGTGGGACATGCTTGTCCCTGCCTGGTGGGACACACTTATCCCTGCCTGGTGGGACACACTTGTCCCTGCCTGGTGGGACACACTTATCCCTGCCTGGTGGGACACACTTGTCCCTGCCTGGTGGGACACGCTTGTCCCTGCCTGGTGGGACACACTTATCCCTGCCTGGTGGGACACACTTATCCCTGCCTGGTGGGACACACTTGTCCCTGCCTGGTGGGACACGCTTGTCCCTGCCTGGTGGGACACATTTATCCCTGCCTGGGGAGAGCAGTCCCATGGGAGGATCATCCTGCATGGTGGGCACTGATGATGCCTTTGGGCTACCAAAAAACAGAGTTCAGACAAAATTAGAAGGATAAAAAGCAGTTTGTTTATATTTGTTGAAGGGCTTTCAGGTACATTTAGGGCAGATGAAGGCCCCCAGGGGCTACACCCAAAGATGGACAATGGGTCATGAGTTTGCACACTTTTATAAGTTTGGTCCATTTGCCTGTTAGGGGTTAATCTTCCAATTCCAGTTTCAGGTAATGAAGTCATTTACCCCCAGTTTGCTGCCCCAGCTCACTTTTGTTCCTGTCTCTCAGGGCCTGAGGCAGTGAGGGGTCCTTGATTGCCAGGCCTGGAGAGGAATTGTTGTGTCTGCCCAAAATGGGAAAGCTGCAGCTCACACTGTGTGTGGAGTTCAGAGTTCTACACTTGGTGCCTAAAGAGGCTGGCCTGGAACAGAGGCTGGACAGACTTCAAGGAATAAAGTAGGGATTTATGAAAAGGCCTTCAAAGGATACACCTTGGGCAGCACAAGAGCCTGGCCATGGCTACACCCAAGATGGACCCAAGATGGACCCCAGGCCACGAGTTTTCACACTTTTATAAATTTTGGTCCATTTACATATTGGGGTTAATTGTCCAAATTACAGCTTCAGGTTATGAAGTCGCATCCTCCCAGTTTGCTCTTCTCAGTTAGCTGTTTTTTATGCTTTTTGGGCCTGAAGCTGCAATGGTGTCCTTGGTCTGGAAAAGGATTGTTTTGTCTGATCAAACTGTGAGGAGAACTTGCTAACACTTTACATGAAGCTCAGAGTCACACACCGATGAAGTACAGAATCTGAAAGATACAGAAGTTGAACTTAAGGCAACACACCAAAGAATTGCAGGACCACAAATACATGAAAAACATACAAACTAAAACCCTATGGTATGGGTGTCCTATGTGGATGGTGCCCACCCCAGAGCTGGCACACAGGCTGTGGGGAGAGTTTGTGCAGGGAATGGGGCTGAGCCATGCCAGGAGGGGCCAGCCCCCATGGCAAGGAGCCTGAGGAGGGGTGGTGGCTGTGTTGGGGTCCCCGTGGCTGTCACAGCATCTGAGGATTCTCTTGCAGCTGAGGCCTGCAGCACCACAGAGGACGGGGACGAGCCCCTGCACTGCCCCACAGGCTACGAGTGCCACATCATCAACCCGGGCAACACGGCCGAGGGCATCCCCAACAGGGGCCAGTGCATCAAGCTCCGGGGAAACCCAGGTGGGTCAGGCCAGGAAACCTCCCCCTGTGGGATGGAGCCCTTTTCTCACTCACAGATGGGGTAGCAGGAAACCTCCCCCTGTGGGATGAGGCCGTTTCTGACTCACAGATGGGGCAGCTGAAGCACGTTTTAAAAACTTTTATAATGTATAAATAATAAATAATAAATAATATAAATTTTATAATTCATGCCATCACAATCAGAAGCCAACTATTTCTTAATTACAATGCATTTTGAGCATTTCTTGGCCTATCAGCTTTAGCCACACTATGCTGCAGATGCCTTAAAGCCAATAATCTAAAATTACCCCTCATGGCTCCCACTACAATGCATCTTTCACAGTTCTGTTTCTCCAAAGTATCCAGTCTTATTTGCAATGCCACCTTTTGAAACTCGTTTCCAGCTCCATTTCTCTCTCAGCAATGTTTGTCCTGTTCCATGGCGTTTCTAAGTCAGCATTTCTTGTCTCAAGGTTTGCATACAGATGCACACGGTGTGAGCTTTCTGTCAGGCTTTGAGAATTCTCTACAAATCCATTTGCCACATTTCCCTTCTCTCTTGAATGGAAAAAACTTCTCATGCATGCTGATGTTTGCAGGGCAGAAGCAGAAAGGAAAGGACCAGGACACCAGGACACTCGTGCCAGTGTCCTCTGGGGCTGTGTCTGCCTGTGCTGTTACTACACAGCACAAAAATTAGAAATATTTATAAGTTATTGCATGCTTCAATGAGAAATCTGAGTTTTAAATTCCACATTTATCTTCTGACTTTGCTTTCTGCATCCAAAACTTCGTTGCCTTCATTCTGCTGATACATTTGCCCAAAAAAGAATTTCATGCATGCCAAAATATTTTCCATGAAAGCTCATAGCATGTGAATTGTAGGATATGTACATTGGCACTGGGCTAAAATCACCTCAGTGCTGAGACATGAGACATCAGTTTTGCCATTTGGTCACTATAAAAAACAGGAGAAGCATCAAACCAGGTCTCTCAGCTGCTTCCAAAACAGATTAAGAGTTTTTCCATCATCTCTTTTATAACCTTTTCTTTAATAACATCCACAGTAACCAATGTAATGTAGAACTGTGGGGATCTTAGACATGAAGTATTTCTAAGGGCTTAAATAATTATATAAATGGCAAACAGAACAACCTCCTGGAACTTGAATTATGTAAAATGCTAAAAGATGGTCTGAAAAGTTACCCAAATTTTATTTCATTTAGGAAAGCCTCTGAATCCTTGACTTGTAGCTATTGAAAAGGTTATAAAATGCTAGTGGCAATTCCCACTCTTATGGCAAATGAGTTGTGTCCACAGAGCTCAGTAATCTCAGCAGTTTATAAGAGGTTTATAGCAACCCAAATTACTTCAGCCACAGAGGACTTTTATGTCCCTCATTGTGAGGCTATTATTTCCCTATCTCTAATTTCTCTGTGCTGTACACAGCAGGTCAGAGTTTAACACAAAAAATGAAGCGTGACTCGGTATGTTCTCACCATGAACCTTCTTTTCCAGATGGACACAACCTGAGGCATAAGTATTACAAGGAATATATTGGTAAGCTGCTGGCATGAAGTGGTTGTTGTTGTTGTTGTTGTTGTTATTTTAAGCTTTATCATTCTTGCAATGCTTACAAGGAATTTGCTCCTTATGAAATGAAGGTTTGTACATAGAAAAAAAAATATTCTTTATCTTCAACTCTCTATGCCTCGGTCAGATGTTATTTTAAGATCTACAATGTCCTGACTGTGGACTCTTGAGAACCAGAATTTTCAGCTGTGACAGAATGAGTTAAACTGCCAGGGGAACCACCCAGTCCAATAATCTTTTTTTTTTATTTTTAAGCATATTTTTGGAGCTTTGTTCTTGGTCCAAGACTCCTCTCTGCTGCAGCTGAACACAGGGCTCTGTCAAAAGCAGGGTCTTGGGCTGTGGTAAGAGATAAGGGATGGTGGAGCCCAGTGAATTCCCCTAGAGGTGTCAGGTCCCTCTCACAAATCTGGGGCTCAGAGAAAGCAAGAGCATCTCCCACATCTTTCCTCACAGTTCCAAAGCTCCTGGTTCCTCCTTCTTGGATCTGGATCTGATTGGAAGTGACATTCAGGTACAACTAGACAGCAGCTTTGACATAAGATTTCCAAACAGCCAAATTTGGCCACTTTGGCTGATTAAACCAGGAGAGGATTTCTTTTCCTTTCTTCTAGTGTGGGCTAGCCCAGCTATCTGTTAAATAATGATAAAATAAACCTGCACTGCTGAGGGAACCTCGAGAAGCCATTTTCCACAGCCCAACCCAAAACCTGACTTTGCTGATGTTTGTTTTACAGGGAGCAACTCCAACAATTTGGTTGGCTATGTGAAAAACCAGCAGAAGCATTTGGGCTAATTGAAGGTGTGCCTGGGTAAGTGCCCTGTGAATAAAGGGAAAGCTGGGTGGAAATAGCTGGTGCTTGGAATGCAATCATTCACAGAAACATTTTCTGAGAGTGGTATTTCCTCTGAGCAAAATGCTGGAGTAAGGACAGCACCTTAAACCCTGTGCAGGTGCATGAAACACTCTCATTCCATCAGACACACCTGATTTCTTGGCAGAACCTTTGCCTTGTGGGCATTTAGAGGATGAAAAATAATTGGTGTTCCTTAAGACTTTAAACTTTTGTGTTTAGGGGCTTCTTCTAGCACAGGTGTAACTGGGCCTGCCAGACAAATTAAAAAGCTATTTATTCTGTTTAATCTGACTGCAGAAAGGGTCAGTCTTGCAAATCCTTCAGCACATGGGGGGGTTTTGTGGATAATTTTCTGTGTGTGAACACTTGTGCTGAGCAGTGGCACCACTGATGTGAGAAAAGGCACATTGATCTGTCAGAGCCAACAGCAAAAGCTCTGTCTGTTTTATCAGCCTTGCATCAGGCAAGAATGAAAATATTTATTACACCAAAAGTTCTGTCCCGAGATGGTTTTCTCTACACTTTCAGCTTCACTTTAAGATTAACTTGGGTTTAGCTGGGAGTTGTGAAAACAAAGCAGTTCAGTGTTGTACCTACGTCAGGCTGGCTGTTAAGATTGCTCAGCTACTTAAGGACAAGTTCTGTGCAAACATCCTAGGAAAGATAAATATTTTAACTCCTCTTCCTCTTTTTTTTTTTCTTTTGTTGTTTGGTTTTCACCCAGCTGGACCCCTCTGTCAAGGAATGCTTTACCCAGCAGCTTTCTGGTCCCAGATCTCCACATCTCCAGCACCCCCTGGTCCCTGTCCATCACTGACAGAAAAATTCATTATCCAAAGAAAAGTCCAGGTTTTAACCCCACCAGGAAGGGGAGAAATGTGATCCCCTGAAGGAAACCACACTGCTTATCAGCTGCCCTTCTACAAATGAAATGCAAACACCTCCAAGGGATCCCTGTAAGCCACAGTGCCATGATCAGGCTGCTGACACAGAGCCAGCCCTTCGTGTGCTTGTTGTGTGACCAATTCAGATTTCAGGCCTGTGAACACAACCCAGTGACGTCAGAATTCTACCTAAATATCATCTCTAAGTTGCTTTAAAATAGGTGAGACTAAAGAGGTTCTCTGGATCAAATCCAGCGCCTGCCTGTCTGGAACAACCCCTTTAAAGAAGCCTTTTCATCAGCTTAAAATTCAAAGAAATCTGCAAGTTTCTTCTATTTATACCCAGATAAAAACCAGGCTTGACACCCACTCTAAATGGCTAAACCTGAAGTTTTAAGAATTTGAGGAAGTTTAGGCTAGGAGCAAAAGCAGCTTTATAAATGATTTTAGGTTACTTTCCTCTTCTCAGTCTGGTGAGCTGCAGATTGAGAGTTAATAATGGAACGGGTTCCTTCCTACAGTATCCAGGCTGACACACAAATGCATGCCAGGTTTTGTAATGTGCTGTTTTTAGCCAGCACAGTTAATACTCACAAAATCTGGGGGTTTGTACCTGCAAAACCTCAGCAAGAGGCCTGAAGTCTGGATAATTGGTTAAATGTGTTAGAAAATCAAATCCAGGATAAATATGTGTGCTGAAAAGGATTGTCTGGCAGATGAGCCCCTGCTCCTCAGGAGTCCTGTACCTTTTATGTTGACTTTCCTAAATCCTTAAAGTCTGGATATTTGTATTTGGGCTTCACAGCTTCTTTTAGCTGTTTACCATTATACAATGGAAAACACATTTTCTGTTAAGGTTTTTCCTTTCCTGTGGCAGTCCTGAAGGGACAGTTGCATTTATTGTGACAAACCAGCCAGAATTGTCTGGCAGAAAAGCCACATTTGCTCCATGGTTTAGTCCATGTCCCCATCTGCCTGCATGAAATTAACATTTTCATTTGCACAGTAGTAGCACTGCATATAAATACCCAATTCACAAATGCAAGCCCCTGCTTCCACTCACAAAATACAGGATTGTTTTTTTCCCCTCACTAAATAGTTTAAGCCAAATCCAAGACACCTATAAAACTCTTGATGCTTTGCACATGACATTTGCAGCTGGAGAGATGGAAGGTGCCAAACTGCTCCTCTGTTTCCTATTCTAAACACACTCCTGGGTGCTTTACAGAGCAAAGAACAGCTGAAGGGCTCCACATTTCCCTAAATATCTCCATTTGTTGTACTCACTCTTTTTCAATGTGCAAGACATTAAATGCAGCACCATGTTTGGGCAGAGCTGTTTCTAGAATTTTATCCTATACAGCTTCCTGCAGTGAGATCTTAATTCCTGCTTGGACACAGGGGCCACAGAACCAGAGAATTTTGGAATGGTTTTGGAAGGGAATTTGAAGCTCATCACCTTCCACTAGATCAGGTTGTCCAGGCTCCAATCCCTATTTTATCATTCCAATCTGTGTTCAGACCAGAAACTTGTCACTTATCCTACTGCAGCCTCGCTCCTCAGTGCTGCCCAGTGAAATGGATTGATTTTGTTCAGCATTACTTCCTGCAGGCAAAAAAAAATCAAATTCTGATTAAATGAGCAAAGCCCTCCAGTGATCACTGCTGGCCCCAAAGGGTAAATGCCAAAATGTTCAATTTTAAGCTAAAAAATTCCTAAAACCTTCTGAGGAGTTAGTTGAAAAATTGGTGGTGTGCACTCACAAATTTGAAAGATTAAAACTTCAAATCTCAGCCTAATCTCTCAAAGCAGCCCAAAATATGCTTAATTTGAGGGGACACATTCACTTCAGTGTCTGTTTTCTTTGTAGCTGCAGAAGCACATACCTGACCACCTGGGTGGGACAGTACAGGTGTGTTCTGCTTGCAAAAGAAATTAAATTTAAAAAAAAAAAAGAAAATTGACAATTTAATAATTTGATGATGAATTTCTGTTTACTGGGTGTTTCACAGCCATCACCCTTCTATAGTGGTGCTATAATGCTCAGGGGGATTTTTCCAGGTTAATTCAAGTTATTAATTGTCAAACTCAGAAACAAAAGCCACAGAAGGGACTTGACAATGTTTTCAGCAGTGAGACACTGAAATGTGAAACTCAGACACTGAAATGAAAACACAGAGCAGGTGAGCTGTCCTCAGCTGCTCTGCTCTCCAGAAACAGATGCTCCATCAGCAGCCTGGTGCAGCACAGTAGGAAATGCCTGGTGTAGGATGTTTTTAACCTTTTCATGACCACTCTGCAGCGTGTTTGGTGCTATGATAACCTTCCTGTGTGCCACTGAGTGCTGCACTGCCCACAGCTCCCACATCCCCGAGGATCTGGGCAGCCCCAGGAGCCCCTCCCTGGTTTGTGCTGTTCAGGTTCTGCTTTGGTGCTCAATAAAAAGTGACCAGTCTATTTTTCAACCCTGCTGAGTTTCTGTTGTGTCTTCTTGATGTACTTGCAGCTTTGGATTAGGGGGAAAAAAATGGAGAAAATTTCTCAATTTTAGTTGTTGGGAGAACATAACACAAGCACAGGGAGACAAAAGTCATTTTGTCCACTGGGAGGAAGGTGATAGACTCCAAAACACATCCACCACTTCTGTCAGCTTTCAGAGGGGCCCCTGTTTTGGGTCAGACACTCAGTTTTGGCATTTTCACTGCCCTCAGAGGAGCAGGTGGACAGTGATGCCCCAGCAGAAGTGACCCTTTGCACTGGGGCAGTGCTGGGGCTGCCAGCTCAGGTGCTTTGGGCTGCACCAGCACTGCCCAGGCAGCTTGGCAGGAGCCTCAGAGGGTGGAGAAACCGAGCAAGGTGAAGGTCAGGGCTGGGCTGTGCCCACTGCAGGACAGAGCTGGCACAGCACAGGGGTTGGGCCGATCCCAGCCTCCACCACCCACCTGCCCCACCCAGGATCCTGCTCTACCTGCTCCTCAGCAGGGACAGGAGGGCTCCTGCTCTGCCCTGGCAGCACAGCAGGGACACGAGCTGCCTGCAGGGACAGCAGGGACAGGAGCTGCCTGCAGCTGAGCCACGGGGGGACAGCAGCAGGGCTGGCATTTGGGAAGGGCTGGGGGGGTTCAGGTGAGCCCAGGCAGATCCAGGTGGCAGGGAAGCTCCTCACTGTGCCAGGGAAGGTGTCCTTGGGATCTCTTGGACCTCTTGTGGTCTTTGGGATCCTTGGGATCTCTTGGACCTCTTGTGGTCTTTGGGATCCTTGGGATCACTTGGACCTCTCATGGTCTTTGGGATCCTTGGGATCACTTGGACCTCTTGTGGTCTTTGGGATACTTGGACCTCTTGTGGTCCTTGGGATCATTGGACCTATCATGGTCCTTGGGATCCTTGGGATCATTTAGACTGCTCTTGGTCCTTAGGATCACTTGGACCTCTCGTGGTCCTTGGAATTCTTGGGATCTCTTGGACCTCTCATGGTCTTTGGGATCCTTGGGATCACTTGGGTCTCTCGTGGTTCTTGGAATTCTTGAGATCACTTGGATCTCTCATGGTCCTTGGGATCACTTGGACCTCTTGTGGTCCTTGGGCCTCTTGTGGTCCTTGAGCTTACTTGGGATCACTTGGACCTCTTGTAGTCTTTGGGATCACTTGGACCTCTCGTGGTCCTTAGGATCTCTTGGGATCACCCAGACCTCTCGTGCTCCTTAGGATCATTGGACCTCTCATGGTCCCTGCGATCCTTGAGATCCCTTGGACCTCTCGTGGTCCTTGGGATCACCTGGACCTCCCCATTTGGATGAGGAGGTCACAAAGGGTGTTCACCTAACTCCTGTCTCCTGCTGGGAATTGTGACAGCAACCACGAACCTCAGCTTTCAGGAGAATGATTTGTTTGGTGAACACCACAATATCATGGTTTCATTTCAGCTCATTTCCACACCAATGCAAGCAAAAACGGTTTCTGCTGCTGTAATTTGGCAGTGATCTTTGTGGAAAAAGCACAGCATGACCTGAGGCAGTGTCTGGAGTGACACTGAAGTGCTGCCAGGGCATCCCAGGAACCAACAACAGGATCAACAGAAGGAATAACAAAATAGATCTTCAAGGAGTCTACTCCTACCACTAAAATAATATAAAATAAACTCTGATGTACCACTCTGTGGTATTGGACTGTCTTGGTCACCTTCAGGAAGTTTTCCATAGTTTGCTGAGCAGTGAAGAAGCCTCTGAGGTTTGGACAACCCATAAAAGAGTTTTTGGAGGCTGGAGGATTCTCTTTGCCCGTGACACAGCAGGGATTGGCTCATACAGGGGTTGTTTTCTTCTCCCACCTCACCCTGGCTGCACAGGCTGTATTTCCCTCTGGAGGTGGGGTTGGGTGAGCATTCATTGTGTCTCTATGGCAAAAGGATTTACTGCATCATCTAGGATCCTTTAAAGGTAAATTAAAAAAAAAAAACCACCAAACCAAAAAACAAAAACAAAACCAAACAAAAACAAAGCAAACAATCAAAACAAAAATAATCAACTAAAACACCAAACCCAAAACAAACAAAGAAAACCACCAACAAAAACAAACAAATACAAAAGTAAAAAACAAAAACAAACCAAAAAAGCCCAACTTTTTCTGGCTAAAAAAAAAATATTTTTAGAGTTTCCCAGACAGAGCTGTAGATGGTGGGGATTGTTCCACTCATCCTGAGTCCCCCACCAGGTGAGACTCCCAGTTTAAGCAATGGAAACTGTGCAAAAAGAAACCAAAAGCTTCCATTAAATTCCCTCTTCCTTGCCCATTACACACCTGGGGACAGACCTATGGATTTGGGATTATTATGGATTTTGGATTTTACTCAACCTTGATGGGACAAGATGTTCTTTGCTTTAAAAAACAGGAGCAGCAGAAGTTCTGCCCAGGAAAATCCCAACCCAGAAGTGAAGTGCTTGGATTTTTGGGTGGCAGCAAACTCCATTCTACCCATGCAGAAGAGATTTTTTCCCTCAAGGTGGCACAAGAGGAACAAAAGTGCAACAAGTCCTGGTTCTGGCAGGGGAGCAGGTGAAGGAGCTGTGAGGTTTGAGCTCACAGCATCATAATTTTGGACTCAGGGAGTCTCAGAGAATGGCTCCTTTGCTCTGTGTGTTTTCATAACAGATATTTTCTACTTAAAAGACAAAAAAAAAAATGCTTTCCAAATAATCCCCTTAGAACTGGAGCTTTATTATCCAATTAAATAGGAAATACTGTAAGGGCACTGCAATTGGACTGTGATATGTTTTTAGAGTGTGCAAATGAT